ATGGCCGGGGCATGACGTTGCTTCTGTAGGGCTGACCGGTTGGTAGACCCTGCTTGCAATATTGACGCCCTGTGCGGGTCTGGAACGGACCGATAAATGCGCCCGATCGTTGTGCCCTGCATGTTTTGTTCTCTCAGCGGTTCTCGTGGTGTCAGTCTCTGTAAATGAAGCGTTCAAAATACGTCCATCTCCTGGGTGACACGCTTCCCAAACCAGTCGACCAATTCGTCGCCGCCGCCTTCATTCTTGCCGCTGAAGAAGTCTGTCATACGCATGTCGTTGCCGTCATCTTCAGCAGGCCAGTCAATAGCGACATCCGCTTTTTTCCCTTCCAGTAGCTCTTTCGCAGTTCCCCACGAAAAGCGCGTCTCGCTACCCCAGCCAAAGAAAGGGTCCATATTCTGCTTCAGCCAGGTCGTTGTCCGCGCGTCTGATGGGTATCCAGAGCCCCAAGCCACCTTGACTTCGGCATCTTCGTTCGCCGCTGTGTTGCGCTTCTGGTAGGGCTCGTAGCAAACATCTAGGGCCGCGTCACGGGTGACTTTGGCGCATACTGATGCTGCACTGACGACGGGGTATAGGCTGTCAGCTTTCTTCGCGACTGTGATTCGTATCGTGGGCCAGATCCTCTCTAGTTTCTTCTGATAGATTTCTGGTCTGCCAATTGTGTCGATGTAGATCTCCTTGACGTTGACGCCTTGTGCCAGCACTCCCTTGATCAGGTCGATTGTCGCATCCATGGCTTGCGCATTGAGGTTGTATACATTTGGGGACAGCATGTGCGCTGAGATGTCTTGTGCAGACATTACGCGTGTTGCCCATCCACCAGCTTCGTAGAGATCTGAGCCCTGGGTGCACAGTTTGCGCATCAGGTTCGAGCGGACTTCGGGAGTCAAGACTTTTGAATCGTCAAAGTGGTGCGTTTCGGCGAGAAGGGAATGGTGGAGTTCAATCGGTAGGTAAAAGAGGGCATACACCATCGGGCCTGTATGCGTTAGGGATGAAGAAGACTTTCACAGGAGCCTAGTACCTAGGACTGGACCTCGTCCAGCCTCATCGACACCTAGCACGACTTCTCCAGACATGTCATCTGCGACCTGCTTGGGTATGGGCGAGAAGTGCGAATATGACTTCCCGCCAAGAATGCCTGATTTGGATATTGAAGGTGCCATGAAGACATCTGAAGGTGGTGTTTCCAGCTCAATGTCTTGGGTGTCCATCTGAACATCTTCTTGTGGTTCTGCCATGGTTTCCGTCGTCTGTTTTAGCGGCTGAGGTCGTGTGGGCGATGTTGTGTGTCGTTGTGGTAAAGTGGTCGATTGAGTGAGACGCGACGCGTTCCTCGGCGGTTTGGACGCGACTCACCGATACGCTAGCGATGTGAATGGCACCGGCACACCTGCACCACGGCAAAGCCCACACACACCTTATGCGTAGGGCACGGCACAGTGCATGCAGTTTTCTACGCTTTTCCCCCAAACCTACTGTAAAGGGTTGGTTCGCACCGGCAAGTCATGTTCGTACCACCACACAAAGCGTTTCGCTGCATGAGTGCCGCCGAGGCCAGCACATTTCTTCCCGGGGGCCGCATGCAGTGTGTGATGGGTGTGGTACTTCCTAGCACAACACGCTAAAGTTGCGAATTCTCACACACAGGATTCCATTAAACTTATTTCACGGTATTGTAGATCGTCTTGCTCACGCCGCTTCTGAGACTCTCTTGTACCCAATTCGGCAATCCCCTCAGCATGCTGACCTTGCCCGCAGCGCTTGGTAAGATGATCTGGCCACCGCTGCAGCTCATGATTTGTCCGACAATTGCATCGGCAACAGCAGTCGGCTCAAGAATGGGAGAACCTCGCCTCTTGAGTTCCTGCTCCACAGGTTCTATCAAAGGTGTACGGACCCAATTAGGGTGTATGGAAGTCATGAGAACGTTTGGGCTGTTGTAGTGGTGCTTGAGTTCCTGGGTGAGCGCTAACTTGGGTCAGCATACTGCAGCTAAGAGATGGGACAAGGAACATACTTTCGTGGAAGCTTAGAATAGCCGCCTTCGTCGCTGTATAATCTGCCAGGCCAGCGACACCGATGAAGCTTGCCGTGCTTGCGATCGTCACGATATGGCCCTTGTTGTGTCGGAGCATGTCTGGCAGGAAAGCTTTGGTGGTGTACCAGTTGCTGAGGACGTTTACATCGAAGATCTTTCGGAGGTACGCGTCGGACGTAGTGAGGATGGTGTGGGATGCCAGAAGCCCTGCATTATTGATGAGGATGGTAGGTGCCCCCATCGTTTCTTTGACCTTCTCGGCGACTGAGTAGACTTCAGAGGAGTCGGTGATGTCACACTTGAAGAACTTGAGGCCGGCGTCTGTCGTCTTCGTTAGTACCAGGCAGCTCAGCGTAGTGAGTATTCATGTGTCTTACATCCTTGCAAACTTGGAGGCAATTGCTGAATGTCTAGCACTGCCACTCTGATTCCCTTGTTGATCAACCTCTTCACTACCAGCTCTCCAATACCACTGCAGCCTCCTGTGATGACTGCGACCTCCCGGCTCCAGTTCCATCTCGCCTTTTCACTTCGCAATCTGCCTGCGTTCAGGGCAACATGATTAAGCTGCTTGTTGACGACTCTTGCTGTTCCAGCTATCAGGCACCACTTCAAAGCCTTCACGAGCTGTGCATAGCGAAACGGGTCCCGAAGTGCGCGGATCCGAGTAGTAAGTTGGCTGCGAAGTTGTGTAGGCCCTTTCGTCAATACCCACAGTAGAGCAGCCGTGACTAGAGGGTTGAGTGTGATATGGCCAGCGGTTGTTCCAGCGATATTAAAAACGTGTTGCAGTAACTTCGACATATCTACGTTTGCATCCAATGTACGAAAGTCAGAGTGCGCAACCTGAGCATTCCATCGGAATTGTCACTTATGCATGATCTCCAGGTCTATATAGCGCGCTGCGGGTCCGATCGCGTCAAAAGAGGGGACCATACGACGCCAAATGTGTCTAATTGAGCGGACTTGGAGCCGACGACGTCGCAGCCTCGGCTTCGCATTCTCTTGTGCTTGTGCAACTAGACATTGTAAGAAAGTTTCGTTCGAATAGAGGAGTACCAAGTAAGCTCTAGGGAAAAGATTGCAAGACTCTTTACTTGTAGGCAGCCTTACAGGGCACTTGCATGAAAGTGTACAAGTGCTTCAGTGTGTAGGCATGCGGACCAGCAGAGCCACCAAGATTGCTAAACCAAAATGCGCGTTTACTATCTGTGGTAGAACATGACGTGCCTCGCAAAATCATTTCTTTTTCTTCATTGCAACCTGGATCATCCTTCGAAGAACGCAGCCACTTCGGTGACAATGCACACCCCGTTGTGCAGTCACTGGCACCCTGCATCTGTCTCCGAGGCTATTCTGCAGGAATGCTGTGGAGGGTGGCAAATAGGAACGGCAGGCGCAGACGTGCATTGCTTCTCGGGTGCAGAGGTCCGATAGCGTGGCTACCTGATTGGTCGATGGCACACGTGTTGCTGCTTCCTGCTTCGACAAACTTTATGAGGAAGTCGCAAGTAACAGCCTGCCAACCAGACATGAATTGCGCTCGATGCCTCTGGATGCGTTACTTCCTCTGGCCATGTTACATACAGGAGCGCCGCTTTGGCCTGCTTTTAGCCGGTTCCACGAAGCCCACCCTGATCCCCCTGCTGATTGGCGGATGCAAGGCGCGTGCGGGGAAATGCCTGGTTCTCTATTCTGAAACGAGAGCGGTCAGGCCCATCTAACCGCATCGGCTGCATGGGAGAACGAGGCGCCTCATTTATAAAGATCGCCATTGTCGCAAAGAGATGGGCATTTGGTGAGATGCAAGGCCAGGGAATCCAACAAGAGTCGGTCGATGTCGCCTACCGATAAATAAACCAAACCTTCGGTAGCAGAAGACAGTCAGAGACACACTCAGTCCTCCTGCACGACATGTCTACCAGAATGGCGCGGCACGCGTAGCGGCATACGTCGGTGTTTGAGACGATCGATGCCCCGCCAGTCCTTCGGCCGTGGAAGCTACACTGCCCCTCCTAGTACTTATTGCGGTACTACTAGATGCTGCAACCCTGACTGGCTGGGGGACTCTTGGGCGAAGAGCTGCCGGATGACGTGAGGGCATTGCGCACCGCCCGCCGGCATCTCCATCCCACTCCAGGGGCCTGGAACGCGCTGTAGAGAAGCATTCAGAACCACGTTTGCCGCGCATATCGATTTAGAGTGGGCCGCGTTGGATAGCGGAAGGCTGTGACAGCTGCGTCAAAGGCTGGGACGACACACAGAAGGTGGGTTGCCAGATTCGATTAGCACCGCGTTCCGAAGCCATGACTACAACGTATGTTTAATCCTGGGATGCGATGCGCGTTTGCGTGCTAGATAGTCTCTACAGTAGCTGCGCATGTACAGTAGACAGCTGCGGGAGAACAGGAGGGTCCAAAACCTCAATTGGGCAGAGTACGCGACCAGCAGATGGGCAATATGTGCGGAATCCCACCCAGCACTAGTTGAGCGCCACATCGTCCCCTGATCAGTGATGGACCCTGAGCTTTCAAGTCCAACGCTCCACTCCCGCACCATCTATAGACTTGCTCTTTCGGCGCCTGAAGTTGAACTGTTGGCCAACCCTTCCAGACTTGCTCCGACTGTCCTTACCCACGACTCGTGCTGTGCATAGGCCATCGAGTGCGCGCTGCTGCGACCCGCACCACATCGACTTCCGTTCCTGCCTACGTACCGAGCCTCCAACCACGCTTCCGTCCCGACTCTGTACGACCACAAACAGCGAGCAGCGAGGGCAGCAAGGGCATTTGCCCCGTGTACGAATTATCTGTATGTAAATGCGCCTTCCGTGTCTCCAGCGAAGCGGTCGCGGCTGCCATGTGAACTTCACACCGCCCGCCAATCCCCCACACCAGCTCCCAGGGCAGTCGCGCTGACGTGACGGCAGTGTATTTCTAGTATTCTAGTCAGTATGGCCTACCAAGGCATGGGAGGAGGCAACGGCCTCAGATCCCCGCGCGAAGAGCAGTCGTTCCTTTCCCTGAATCGCGCCGCTCAGAACGGCGATGGCCGCGCGACCCTGCAGCGCCGCTTCACGACCAACAACATTCCGACCATGAGCACGCCTCTGTCGCCAATCGGACAACAACGTAGACAAGCGGCAGAGCCGGCCGAGTTTACTACAGCGGTATGTGGGCACTCTCGTACACGTAAGAGGCGGATGTTCAGTGTTGGGGCTCCGCGGCGCTTTGCATGTCGGTACTCAGTAGCTACCGCAGCCATGTCGGATATACTTGAAACGACATAAAGTGGCTGCGCTGGTAGAGCTGCTGTCCGTTAGCTATTATACATACGCGGTGACCAAGAATTCGGGCTAACGACCAATCCCAACAGACGTACCACAAGCTCCAAGTTGTAAGTCTACTTCACTGCGTCTTTCTGCGTCTCTCACTTGTCACCCACAAATCCTACTGGAAGTAAGATTGCAGTCGTTGCCAAGGCCACCTGTCCAGGCGACGCCCATATTGACCAACAATTGTCTTTTGCCTTTGTCTCTCCTACACAACAAAAGTCCGCCGCCTCTCCAAAAGCTAGCTTTGCTATCATTACTCCTGTACATTTCTCTGTCTCATTTGAGACCCTATTCCCTATCTATATCCTCATCTCTTCCCATCTCTTCCCATCTGCATCGTCTTACGTCACGAGCGACGCTGTTGCCTCACGACAAACGCGCTCAAACACCCTCGCCGGTCCGTGTGACCAGCTAACAGCTTGCTAGCTTGAGAGAAAACGGATCGAACACGAGTATCTCAAAGAAGCAAAACGGCGATTCGACGCTGAGATGGAGCTCCTCAACTTGCAAGCCCAGCACGGCGAGAGTGACACCAACCGATTCTCGGCTGATGCTCACTACGGCGGACCTGCGCATAGCCAGCCCACTACCCCGCCCGAGTACAACGAGAGCAACGGGTTCCCGTCCGCTTTGTCGCGTCCGAACCGTTTCAGCATGTCCAGTATCAACCCGGGTATGACCACACGCGGTAGCCGTGCCAACTCCCAGGTCACTTCCCCTCCCGCCAACTTCCAGAGCAACGGCAACTTGCCTTCGCACTCGATGCCAGGATCTCGTCGCAACTCTGAGGAGGAGCATGACGACTTCGAGAACGACGACTTTACTCCACTGAGTCCGGCCGCGCGCAAGTAAGTTGGCTCAGCACAACATCACCTCAAACACTGCTAACCCAAATAGGAGCAACCGCATGTCCATGCCCGTTACTAGAATGGACTACGGCAACCGCGGAAATCTTCCAGATGTGGGCTCGCTTCTTGGCCATATTGATACTGCCGGCTTCTTGTTTGGTGATGACGCATCAGCTGCCACTCAAGACCAGAAGGCTTTCCTGCAGATGGGTAATACCAAGGACGACTTTCCAGTCTTGGTCCGCCGTGATGGTGCTGGTAATGGTACGAACCTCTCTGCCTCTTCCGCTGCACTTGATTTGGCCCTTTCACAGTCCCCTGGCCCGGATGCTCAGTCCACTGCTTGGAACGGACACCGTCATCGTCAGGCTCAACAGTCCCTTCCTGCTAACACTTTCCGTAAAGCTTCTCAGATGGACGACTATGAGTCCGGTCGATCCAACGGCGCCGAGATCACTCCCAAGAACAACCGTCGCTCGGTGGAGTTCAGCTTCAGCCCCAAGAACAATGAGTCCAAGCGCTCCAGCTACGGTGGCCCGACCAACGGCATGCCCAAATTGACTCAGTCGTACTCTACAAACGACGTTCCGACCCTGAAGAATGGAGCGAACGGCGCCAATAGTATCGGTTTCACGCACTCGCAGCAGTTCCACAACCACAACGCTAGCCTTGGTCGCATTCCGTCAAATGTGCTGTCCAACCGTAACAGCCGCGATCTCTCACTCGGTAATCGCGAGTCTGAGTACCGTTCTCCGCAGTCAGGCTTGCACGCAAGCGCTGCACCTTTCGGTCCTGGTATGACTTCAGCTGCCAACGGCAACGGCGGAGTCTCGTCGACTGTCGGTTCACCAGCCATGTCACAGTACTCGAGTGTTTCCGCTGCCAACCCAGGATACTATGGATACGGCATGAACATGCTGAACGGTGCTTTGAATGGTCTCAACCTTGGAGGTGGGCCCGGTCCTCAGTACGGTGGACCCACTGCTTATGCTCCCAACGGCATGTACGGTAACGGACCGTCGCAGTACAACCCATACGCTACCTATGGCCCAGGTGGTCGTGTACAGGACAGCCAGGCTCGCGTCATTCAGAGCCGTCGTCTGCAGAACGACGCCAACAAGTACATGAACTACGATCTGAAGACCATGCCCCGTCACGAGATCTACAGTTTGTGCAAGGATCAGCATGGTTGTCGGTTTCTGCAGAAGAAGCTCGAGGAGCGCAACGCGGAGAACATCCAGATCATCTTTGATGAGACTGCCCCTCACGTCGTTGAACTCATGACTGATCCTTTCGGCAACTACCTCTGCCAGAAGTTACTAGAGTACTGCAACGATGAGCAGCGCAACACTCTTGTCCGCAACGCTTCCCCTGCGATGGTTCAGATCGCGTTCAATCAGCACGGCACTCGCGCTTTGCAGAAGATGATCGAGTTCATCTCCACCGATGATCAGGTATGTTACGACCCCCGGTATTCTCCCACTTCCGAGCTAATTCGTCCCCAGACTCAGATGATTATTCACGCATTATCTGGACAGGTCGTCGATCTCATCCAGGATCTGAACGGCAACCACGTCATTCAGAAGTGCCTGAACCACCTCAAGTCCGTGGAGGCCCAGTTCATCTTCGATGCTGTAGGCGAGAACTGCATCACTGTTGGTACCCACCGCCATGGATGCTGTGTTCTTCAGCGTTGCATTGATCACGCCGTCGGTTTCCAGAAGGTCGATTTGATCCGCAAGATCACTGCCCACAGCTTCCACCTTGTGCAGGATCCATTTGGCAACTACGTGGTTCAGTACATCCTCGACCTCAACGATGCGGCCTTCACGACCCCCATGTGCCAGGGCTTCCAGACCAAGATTTGCGAGTTGTCTAAGCAGAAGTTCAGTTCCAACGTCATCGAGAAGTGCATCCGCTGCGCTGAGCCGCACGTCAAGGGCATGATGATTGAGGAGTTGCTTGACGTCGAGCAGCTTGAGCAGCTCATGCGCGACTCTTACGGCAACTACGTTATCCAGACTGCACTCGAGTTTGCTCCCGCCGAGCTGTGCGTGCACCTGATCGAGGCCATGCGTCCGATTCTGCCATCCATCCGCCAGACCCCTTACGGTCGTCGCATCATGAGCAAGGTTAGCGAGCGCGAGAGCCGCCTGGCTGCCTACACTGGCCGTACTTCATCTGGTCAAGGTTCGCCCGGCGCTGGGCCAGGTTCTGAGTCGAGCTCGGTCTTCAACCAGGCCCCGGCACAGTACCAGCCTCCCAACGGTTCCTCTGGCTACCAGACACCCATGTATACTGCAACCGCAAACTATGGTCCGAGCATCATCTCACCTCAACCTCACCGCCAGCCGCACCGCTTGAGCAACCCGCACCACATGCACAACCCTGTTCAGGACAACCGCCAGGGCTACGCTGGCTACCAGCAGCAGCACCAGTACGGCATCCCTCAGGCCAACGGCGGCAACGGCAGCTGGTTCTAGAAGAGCCAAGCGGTCAACGAGGTTATGATTTGACGAGCTACGGTCTGTCCAAAAGCACATCACTACGCAACATGCTTACCAGTAGAGTACACTGGTGTTGGCGTTGTCATTTTGATGGTTTGATCTTTCTTCCATGTATCGGTCCTGTCTGTCTGATTGGGCGGATCGATCTTGTATAGTACGACTACACGAGCATCATCGCGCGGCCTAGGCAGCATTCGGCATATTCGGCGTACGGATCTGGGCTACACGGCGTTCTTCCCTTCCCCCTTCATTGATTGTATTCTATCCCTTCATTTCCCCCAGCCATCACTTGTCTTCACGATACGGCACCTTGGTGCACTAAAAGGAACGTTTCAGCATGAGCACGAAAACGAACAGCACGAGCACTGTCGCCGTATGGGCGGCCTCTTCATTTTCATCTACCCCTTGCAATGGCACTTGCCGTGAGCCTGGAGCTAGGTGGCAAGTCTATGTACATGAATACAGGATCATATTCCAAACTTGATATGCACTTGCGTGATGTTGTACTATCGTCGGGGTGAATGGAAACAACAAAGACAGGGCAGTGACGATGTTGCAATGAATTGTGGCCAGGGTTGCATCGATGTGACGAGGGGTCCAGCGGAGCGACTGCCGTGTGACATGTGAGGCGATGACGCGCTTTGAACTTCGGCTCGGGACCAGCCATTTGAAACATGCACCTGCCCAGTCGCTCCTAGACACTTACAAACCACGCCGAGCACCACCAGTAAACCTCTCGCGACGTCCAAAAGCATTTCAATACGATAAGACGGCTGCCTGACGCTCTCACTATTCTCAACCGTCTTCCGCAGCCCCAAGTCGCCCAAGACATAATGCGCTTCGCCATCTTCTCCTTCCTCGTTGCGTTCCTCGCTGCCTTCGTCATGGCCAGCGCACCCCACCGCTCCGTCATCATCAGCTGGCCCAACGACACACCCGACGACATTGTCGAGCAGAGCAAGGAGGCTATCCGACAGGCCAAGGGTACGAGGCATGCGATACCGGTAGAGGACATGTGCTAACATAATATCAGGCGTCATTACCCACGAGTACAACATCATCAAGGGCTTTGCTGCCACCGCCCCCGCTGCCGCTCTCGACATGGTGTCGACTTTGAGCGACGTGTACAAGTGCGAAATCGAGGAGGATGGCATCGTTACCACGCAGAACAACAAGGAGTAGGCCGGATCGGGAAGGAAGAGGGCAACAAATTGGAAGGAATGACCCTTTATTTAATTGCGCTCATGATTATACGACTGGAGTCTGGAGTCTACTCTTGGATCGGACAGGGTGGAGTTGGACGAGAATGTCAACTAGACAATTCATCAGTATTCTAATTTCTGTAGAGCATATACAACCCATCCTCAACATTGACTGTGATAAACACAGCAAATTCATTAGCCCTACGTATCACCATTGCAGATTGTTGCTACGCCAGAGAGTGCTGTGATCACCGTAGGGTAGGATGGAGGAACCCTGCAGCGGCTCTTTCCCCGCGGGTGTGGCCTGCCCGTGCACGTCGTCTCAGAACAGCGGCGGCTTTATGCGCGTCATGTTCCGTCTGTCAAAAGGCAATTAGGGAATGTCAGGCTGATGCCCCTCACTCGACGCCCATCGCACGACTCTACGCCTCGCTACACACCGATTCAAGACGTCGCCGCGGGCATGTGCTGCATTCCGGCTTAGCGTTCGGGCTCCCAACCTCACCGACGCGCGCGACACGTCCTCGAGCAAGGACTCAGCCTGTGCATGGTGGAGCACGTACACTTCACCGCAAAACCACAGACATCGAGATGCATGACTGTTATTCACTCTACTCGCACCGCATAACAGCATTGACAGACCGACACGCGGGTACCAGGCCCCGCGACACTCCACCATGGACGACTTCAAGCCCGAGCTGCTCAAGGCTCTCCTCGACTGGGTACGTCTCCACGTGCCGCCTCCTACACGTCCGAGTGGACTAGCTGACCTTCGCGTCTAGGTCAACACCTTCGACCTCCCTCACAGAATCACGTCGCTGAGCCAGCTCGAAGACGGCCAAATACTGTGGCAGATCCTCGCCGACATCGACGCCGACTACTTCAACGAGTCTCTCCCAAATTTCGAAGAGAACCACCGCCGCCAATCAGACAATTGGATACCGCGATGGCAGAACCTCAAATACATCGAACGCACAACCTCGACCTACATACGCGAAGAATGCGAGCAGCTGCCCGTGCTCACCAAGCGCATGATACCAGACCTCAAGGCAGGCGCGAGGGATGGATCGACAATGCTGGTTGCAAAGCTCACCATGGCTGTGCTACTGGCCGCATGCTTCTCGCCGCGCAGCAACCAGCGCATGCTGCAGGTTATGCCCAAGCTGGGCCAGAAGACGGCCGAGACGATAGCCGAAGCCATACAAGAGATGCAGGCCTTGGACCAACGCATGTCGGAACTAGGCGTCGATGCCGAGCTGACTTCAGAGCCAGTTCTCTCAGGGTATAGAACGCCCACACGAGCAATATCGGGCCAGCCACCTCCGGCAGGCAACGAGTTGGAGCAGGAGGCACAGCTGTTCGAGGCGAACAAGGACAGGCAAGCACTCAAGGCGCAAGTTGGAAAACTACTCGAGGAGCTCAAGACCTCACGAGAACGCATATCCAAGCTCGAAGAGGAAGTCGCAGAAGCGACTGCCTATCTCGATGTTCGGGCGGGCCAGGCACAACGCGCTCAATCCGACGATGTCGAAAACCTACGGAACGACTTGCTGCGCGACAGACAGTACATCGACCAGCTCGAACAAGACCTCGCACATACGAGAGAAATCATGGAAAGCCAGAAGCGACGCCTCGATCGGCTAGAGGGCGAGGAAGGATCCAAACAGGACTTGCGAGATCAGCTGCAAGTCGTCAAGGCAGAACGCGACGAGCTGAGCCAAAAGGCCAAGGCGAACGAGAACCTGAAGAAGAAGATCGAATCTCTCACCAAGGAAACCAAACAACTGGAGACGCTACGCGAAGACTACCAACAAGCTCGTGAACGGTTAGCTCAGCTCGAAGGCGTCGAGGAGCGCATCGATATCCTGCAGAACATCATCAAAGAGAATGGTCAGACGCTTGCCAACGGAGAGCAGGCCATCTTTGAAGAAAAGGGCAAGCGCACCCGAATCGAGCATGAGAACCTCCTCCTTATGAAGCAGTTGGAGCAGACTCGCGAACTACAATACAAAGCAGAAGATGCCAAACAAGAGCTTGAAGAACGGATACGAGAACTAGAATCATCCAATCATGCTGATCGTGGCGGAAGCCTGGAAGACGAGCTTGAGCAAGACGAGAACGCCAATCAAGATACCGACACGAAGCCCGCGTCTGATGGGCGGGTGAGCGCAGATGCGATTGCTCTACAACAACGGGTCGATATCTTGAACGTCCGTTTGAAGTCGCTAGAAAGCGAAACACTCAAGCAGATGCAGGAGAATTTGGGTCTACGGTCTGATATGATGACAGAGAAGGATGAGAACAGCCAGAAGTAAGTGACAGCTTCATATGGATCGGGCATTACTAATTACATGTCCGCAGACCATTTCTGGAACAGAACGAAAAGCTACAGACTGCTCAAACCGAGCTGGAAGAACTTCGTCGCCGGTTACGAGAACAAGACCTGCAAATGGCGGAACTTCGCAACGAACTCAACAGGAGTATGTATTCCGATTCATCTTTGTGATTGTGCTAACTCTGCTAGAATCTGACATCGACGACGATACGCGCACAGCTGCTGTCCAAAAGGAACACGAGCGCCTACTGGTACTGCAAGAGAGGACCAACGACAGACTACGGGAGCTCGAAGTTGCGAACGCGGAGAAGCAGGGTCTCTTACGAGCAGCGTTGCTCGATCGCCAAAACCTACCGCCAGAGCTTCTTGAGCTCAAGAGAGTCGAAACGATACGAGAGATGCGTGAACGGATAGAGTCTGTCATCAAGGCCCCAGCAGAAGTACAACCACAAGTGCTAGATACCACAAGTTCGGAGATCGCCGAGACTGTGCTATCCTCCGAAGCAGCTCTGGACAAAGCAAAGAAGGTAAGTAACAAGCAGATCTCTCACAGCAAGTCGCCTTCTCCCGCGTTCGACGCAGCGGTTTCGGCAATGAAGAAACATCAGCTTGAACCTTCGTTCACTGCGGCTACTCTTGTCTCGCCGGCTTCGCCAAATCGATCCCATCTCGGAAAGGATAAGTCGCTATCGGACATGTCTACTTCAACAGCTGGGACGGGGCAAACTACATGGGGCCGCATGGCGCAGCTAGTCTCGCCAAAGCGGAGGACCAAGTCGACCATGGGCGGCACCGAGTACTACACGATGCAATCGTCGAATGACTGTGCGGCAAGTTTGTCCTTGGCCTGGCTGCCAGAGTATACTTATTCATCCGACTTCCTCTCCTTTTTCATACCCTGTACTCATCTCCTCGCGCCCATGCTAACCCGCAACCGCAGGACCTCCAAGATCAACTCACAACCAACAGCACACTTCGCGAGCAACTCGAGCTCGCAAAGAAGGAGACGTCAGAGAAGGGCTCGGTATGTCGCGTTCCCTCCCTCTCCAGAACAGCGACGTGGCAACCTTGGATATGGTAGTAACAAGTGCTCCAACAAACAGGTGGAACTCCAACAAGAAGTCGAAAACCTGCGCCGCGAAAACGCACTGGTCAAGTCCATGTGGTACGACATGAACCAGCGTCTCCTCAGCAACACCGTCATCCTGCAAAGACGCAGCGAAGCACCCAAAGGCTGGCTCGGAAAACAAAGAGCCGCTGTCGGCGGCTCCAGCGTCTTAGTACGTTAGCTCCCCTCTTCCTGTAAACACGTTTTTTTGTGTATGTATTTCCAAGGGCTGACTGGGTATAGGGCCGGAGGTAGCCGGAGCCGTGACCTCATCGCCTTCTCTGCGGCCGACGCCCTCGTCGGTGGGCAACAGCTACGCAGCAGCTGGCTCGTCGGATGGCGTGCTCGTTTCTTTTCTCTTCATTACGCATTTTGTAGGGCCGCGGAATCGGGTTTGGTTCAGCATAGCGCAGGTTTGGTGGCATTTGTATTGCGTGAGGATGTATAGACGTATTGTCTTTTGTCACTTATACCCCCTTTTATTCCTTTGCAGTAGTTTGTAGAGAATCAAATATACTAGATCAAATGGACGGCTGAGCGTTTGGGTGTTGTTGTTGAGATGTCAAGTAAAGAGCGTCATGTCATTGAGGGAATAGATACATGTACATTGGTATTTAGAATGAAAAAGGGTTCAAGCAACATTGAGAAACGGTGCGTTTGGTGGATGACGGCGGTATGGACATGGATTATGAAGACGTTATCCGACAGAAGCGATACACTAGGTAAACCCAACACACAAACAACATCGAGAGTGTGCCGTTGCATTAGCCTCCTCCTCCCACTTCGTCACTACGCTTATCTCCCATTCACATTCCCCATCCTCACACATCAAATTCTCCACACCATCGCCTTCCATCCTCCAATCTCCTACCAACCTAAATCAACAGGTCAACTCCGCACACTCAGTACTCAGCCAGCCTCAACCTCCTCCCGATATTCCTGCGTATAACGTCGCGCTCGACGGGTTCGTTCTGCGCTCGATTCGCATTGAGTGCCTGACGAAGCATTCCCGCATCGAAGAAGCCATCTATAGCCGGAGCAAAAAAGTAAGAATCAGCGATCAATGAAACAGTGAAAAACGAGAAACGATGTATGGGGGAAATCAAGGTAGTGTGTTGGTGCTGATGATGAAGTCTCGTGTGCGCATGCCACTTATACCGCTCAATCGCATCAATAATGTAGGAAAGCAAAGAAGAAAACTTCTCTAATGAGGAAAGAGGAGAACAAACAAAACGCTAAGAAGAGTAAAAAATCGGTTTCCTCGCCGCAACAGGCGCTTTCCTCGCTTTCACCGTTTTAACAACCGGAATAGGTTTACGCGGCGAGCTTTGCAAAACAGGCGTCATGGGTTTGAAAGGCGGGGAATGAGGAGGCGTAGGCGGTAAACCGCCCACAGTAGGAAAAGGCTGAGAAGAAGAAGGCAAAGAGGAACAAGAAGCATAGCTCGAGACTTCATCGAGGGAAAGAAGGGAAGGAGGGGAAGGGGGAGCCCTACATCCACCGAGACCATCGTCGTCATCGTCATCTACTATACTCTCTGCAGGCGTTTGTTGTTTTCCACCATCTCCTAGAATGATTCTGCCTCTGCTCTTGAGACGGGTGGCGAGGGGTCTGTCTTCCGCTTCGCGGGCGCGGGTCGCGGTTTTATCAGCCGAAGTACCGCGGCGCTTGATCTGGCGGAGGAGTTTGCGGATCTCCAAGAAGTAGGATTCCAGCGCGTCGATGTAGCGCGAGGTTTGGCGGTGCTTGGATGACGCGCAGATGGATATGCTGCCGTCTTTTATGATGTAGCCTATGCCGAAGCCGTCGGCGGACGTGGGACCGAAACCGAATTGGCGGAGTGAGGGGTTGCCGCAGTTGGAGGTCGAGAGGATGGTTTGGTTGATCTTGTCCCAGCCGTTGTCGGCGAAGAGGGCGGGCATCGAGTGCTGCATTGGTGCTGGGGGTGGCGAACTCGATATGGAGTCGTTCTCTGAGAGGACTGAGTTGCGGTTCGGTGAACCTACGCCTGATGCGTCGGCGCTGGATGGTCGTGTGGAGTCCCAGCCGTCACTGCTCGCTGTGTCGTTTGACTCGTCAATGGCACGCTGCCAGATGCAGTACAAAGCGTAGAGGTGTCGGTCAGGACCTTGGGCTTTGGAACATATTTTTGTGTTTTCGGTGTGCTTCTGGCACGCCTTTCGGAGTGCTTCGATCTTCTGTGATGCTGGGTTCTCGCCCCAGAACGTCGTGAGAAAGTCAACCGATTCTTCTGTTACCGAGCGGATGGCTTCCGTACGTCCGTGGTAGTAGATCTTGGTCATAGCGGGTTCGTATACGCATTCTATCCGTCCGTATAGACCGTAGTACGCTGCCTGGAAAGCCATTTGAACAAAAGCATCGGGTGAGAAACCCATCGAAGTCATGAAGTTCTTGCCATAGTGCGGGAACTCCAGAGTCGCAAACTCATTCTGCTGAATGAGATCGGCCAGACGTGTCTCGGCGAAACGAAGTGCTGTGCTGAGTTCAGGAAGCATGTCCCATTCGAGCTTGTGGGGAGTTGTCTGTACGTCGCCAAAGCTGTCTGGATCGCGCTTGGCAGGATCAGGACTCGATGAAGCCCAAAGACTCGGCGCACTGCCGTTGATAGTTCGCGCGAATCGGAGAATGGTGTCGGTATATACATCGGAAGCAAATCGAAGTACAGTATGACCATCAACACCGGTATGCTCGAAGTTGATGCCCGCACTTCCGTTCTTGCAAACGATGATCTGAAGCTTGTCATACCAGCGGTTTGTGCATGTTCCCACCTGGACACCGCGCTCAATTTTACTCGTACCGCAAAGCATGTTCATGCACAGGTCGGCACCCGTCTGCGGCTCGGTGTAGTCCAGGCAGAGGATAAATAATGCTGAATCAACAATGTTGAGGCAGTCAGAGTTGTTCGAGCCCTCTTCCCTGTGCAGCACGTCACGGAGACCAGCCCAGACCTTTCGGTTCTCTGTACTCAGCACACCCAGAGCTCCTTTGGCCGCATCTTGAATTGGTACTTCCTGCGCGTCATCGACAATGACTTGAAGATTGAGAGCAATGTCCTTCTCCGTCATGATCAGATCGTGGTTGTCATCCAGAACGTCGAACCAGTAGAACTGGCCATAACACATGACGACCACGTGCTTCGAAGTTGGGTCTTGACCGATCTGACATCCATGCTCAGTGGGTATCCTGGCAGTACCGAACAGCCTTGAGTATTGGTACATGCACAGTGGCTGACCACGGATGGTGTCAGGCGGTAGTTCCTCGCGACGGACAGCTCTTACAAACGACAGTGCCGAGACGACTAATGAGGCTGCGCGAGTGACTTGGTTGTTGCGAGCCGGGGTGGGATCATCCTCCAGTAAGAAGAATGGATTTAGATTAAGTACCACCGGGTTATCGAAGTTCAGATATGAATCATACCCTAACGATAGGTCAGCCTATGATACACGGATATAGACACACTTTCAACTGTCGATCCTGAAATGCCTCAAATATAGCTCATTCTGTGAACTGTCAAGATACTTACAGAACTGCTCGATGTAGTTGTTCTTCCCAGAAGCATACTTCTTCAGCTTCTCCTGCAGCACAGGTCCATCACTCTTGAGGAAGTCCTCTACTGAGTGAACCGTATCGCTGTGTTCCTTCGGAGACTGCAAGGGTTTGAGCGCGGCAATGTATTTCTTGCACGAACTGTCGAGCTCTGGGATAGGAAGCTTTGGTAGACTGTCTTCGTGTGCGAAGGTGATGCCTGGTCTTGAGTTGGGGTTGGTATGGCTTGCTAGTGGTGCTTGTGCCTCTGAGGAGTAAGACTGGGTACTCTGTTTCGCGGACTCAGCCGAACGGGTGGTGCCGTTGCCTTCTGAGCCAGACATCTTTGATGCCTTATCAAGTGTATCCTCAAGGGACGACGGTTGGGTGAAAGTGCGGACTGCCATGGCGCGTGTCAGTTAGGCGTATAGGGGTGAGATGGAGGTGGCAATGTTGAGATGCCGCAGAGCACTTCGATAGAAGTAGTGACAGTCCTGAAGACAGTAGGCCGGCATGGGTACTCAAAGTTCGCAAAGAGCATCAAGGTACTTGGGGAAGGGAAGACTCTTATAAGAGTCAAGACGAATGGCGAAAGTAGAATTAGGGCGGGTCCACATGGCGACTTCGCATGTGAAACGCGCGATAGGCTTCGTAATAAAAGAGACAGGCGATGCAAGATGCCGCCCAGGTAGCCGACCGCTGACCCGGAACGTGACCCGGAGCATGGCAGACCAGAGAGGTGAATGACCCGATGTTCTAAGCCAACGAAACGCCCATGCAAGGAGAATGCAACTTACACAGTAGCGTCGAGCTCTAAATGAGCTGCGGATAGTCTGGCGGAATTTGTCCAGATGTGGAGAGTAATCGAAACTGCTGTAGTCAAAGTAACTCTGTTGCGCAACGACTTACTGTACTCCAATGGGCCTCTTGGGCTCTCGACGATGCAGCAGGACCAGGATAAAGGACCGGAAAAGGTGTGCCGCGGATCGAAGCACAGCAAATGTCAGAGAGACTCGGTCGTGAGGATACGGTAGGCGCGTAAGGCTGCCCCGAGGTGTACTAGTGGGCCTGTTAGAAATCAGCTATCTACGTTACGGACGAGTGGAAGCGTCGGCGATAGCGCGAACTTATAAAGGGCACGCACCGTCGCGTAGGCAGTCCGGTTAATCGGAGAAAATGTACCTGGGCAGCTTTAGGAGAGGCACGGCAATGGGTGCAGGGCACGATAGCAGGATGGCACTATGGTCTATGGCTACTTGGATCACACTGCGCTCTACTCTACGCACGGCAACCTGAGGTGTCGATGTCTGGGCTCCGTCTTGGGCGGACTGGGATTGGAGAGTGGCTGAGATATGCCAACGTGTGGAGAAGCGGGGGATCCAGGTGTGACGTAGGTCACGGACCATAGGAGAAACGGAACCCCCACCACGCTGTCGTGAATAGACTAGTCGACTAGCGGCCAAGAGCTTCTCGAACAGTCGCGAGCAGCTTTCATCACGCGTAGTCAGTCATCCCGTCCGCCTCCAACGCTCCGCCCGCCGTGACATTTGACCGAAAAGGCGAGTCCGGAACGAGAGTCGCGCGTGCCATCCGCAGAGCCGCGCAAATGCGACACCTCTCTGGCTCATGACGGATCTGCTGCAGGTGCTGCCTGACTTTGACGCGAAACCTTACACCCACCTGCTGCCCTCGCTCGACAAGGCCCTCATCACCGCCAATGACCTGCTCACCCTCGACGCCGCCGATGTCGCCAAACGCGCCCAGCTGCCTGCCGGTGAGCTGAGGAAGCTCGCTGATGCCGTGATAGCAGCTCTGCATCTCCAGCTTGGCTTCGGCGGAGAGGAAGCTGCCGTCGGCAATTCCTTCCTTTCCGCTTCGGGCATCCCGGATGCCCCGAACGATGGTTGGACTTGCATAAGCACCTTGGATGAAGAGTTGGACGCTGCCTTGGGTGGAGGCATACCGCGTGGCTATCTGGTAGAGATTACCGGGGAGAGGTGCGGCAATCTGATGAGCTCGTACTAGACATTGTACTGACTACTTCCAGTGGTGCCGGTAAAACCCAATTCCTCTTAACCCTGCTGCTGGCTTCACAACTGCCGCCTCCCAAAGGGCTCGCCAAGTCAGTAGTTTACATATCTACCGAGGCAACACTATCTACAAAGCGCCTCGCCCAGCTGCTCTCCTCCCACCCGGCCCTCGCTTCACTACCTGCCGACGAAAAGCCCTCACTGTCGCGTGTCCTGAGCATACAAACCCCAGATCTCGAATCCCAAGAGCACATACTACGATACCAGCTACCCGTAGCGATCAGAAAGCATGGCGTGGGCCTCGTCATCCTGGACTCTGTCGCTGCCAACTACCGCGCCGAGTTCGAGAAGCAAGGCGCCAGCAATGGGGCAGCGGCCATGGCAAGAAGAGGAACCCAGCTTGTACAGCTAGGTGCCCTACTCCGGGAACTCGCCCGCACAGAAGGCATAACCGTTGTCGTAGCCAATCAAGTCGCCGACCGCTTCACGAAAGCGCCGTCTGCGCCGTCCTCAAACGCAGCATCGCGGACAACATCTACCAACAGCCAAGGCAATCAGAGCGCAAGTCAGGGAACAGACCACGACTATGCCACTAATCCAGCCTCACAGCCAGCCGAAACCATCGTTCTCTCCGCAGACCCTCTCGCTCTCGACCACCAACAACGCTGGTTCACCGGCTGGGGCGACTCGCAATACGAACAGGCGCACGTCCAAAAGACACCCTCGCTAGGACTTGTCTGGACAAACCAACTCGCGTGCCGCATTGCCCTGAAGAAGATACCCGTCCTTTCTGGTAGCAGACCGCTCATACACACTGTAAACGGCCAAGACCAATGGAATGAGCAAGAGGAGAGCCACATCTCAAAGTGGCGACGCTGGTTCAAGGTCGTATTCGCGCCGTGGGCTCCGCCGTCAGAGGGGAGGGGCGTCGAGTTTGAGATAACAGAGAGTGGGATAAGGCATGTAGTTAAGCCAGAGAAGAAATGAAAAACACAATATATACACACATCATCAGCACTTGTCAAGACATGACCTCGGACTCAGAGTAGACTCAGATTACATCATGACATTGATTTTCTTCCAGAAAGATTCTAAACTTTATACCGCCCCTAGGAACACCTTCGCTAGCCCGGTCGTAGAGAAACCCCTAATGCATGCGTCCGCCTGGTATCCATGATCCCTAGATACCCCAAAGTTTATAGAAAGAAGAAACATGTTGTTACAAAAAGACCAAGACGTCACTCTGCCTCGAGCAAAAAGGTCCTCGTTGCCATTGAGCACAAAGAGAGGCGAATCGAAAGGTGAAGGCGCTTAGTCGGTGATCCTCCAGCTGTCGAACCACTTGAGGTGTTTCCACTGGCTGCTGGGTCCGACCATACCGAAGGAGATGGCCCTGAAGAGTACGTACAGGCCGATGATGATGGCGTACAGAACGGCGAAGATGGCCCATTGTACCTGCTTGCTGAGCTTTCTTGTGGTGAAGTCGAGGCAGAAGCCCATGACGATGATGGCGAACCACAGCGCAGGGTAGTAGTGGTGCACGTAGGTGACACGACCCATAGCGACGAATGGTGCGTAGTGAAGGGCCCAGCCGATGATGGGGTAGATACCTGCGTAGTGGATCTGGTCGATCTCTGATTGCTTGAGATCGTTGTATCCGCGTTGCCAGCGAACCAGGTAGAAGACGACGAGAAGACCGAAAATGCCTAGCGAAGCGGTGCTGCCCCAGTAGACGAAGGGGTTGCCGAGGAGGAAGTACTTGACGACTGTGATTTTGTTAGTGGAATATCTAAGGTGATGGGAGAAGGGTGCTTACTGTCGTCGTTCCAGCCGCACATGCGGAGACCGACGTGCAGGATGGGCCATTGCCAGAAGCTGGATGCGAGATCGTCTTGCTTGTCAGGGTCGGGAACAAGCGCGTTGTTGGATGTCATCATGGCAACGTTGAGATGGATAAAGTCCTGGAAGAAGGGTGACTTGTAGTCGCCAGGGTTGCCCGGGGGTAGTCTCTCGTTGGTGTGGCTCTCGATGTTCCAGTGGGTGTAGACGTCGCGGGGGTTGTTCTTCTTGACGCAACTTGTCTCAATCTGCTTGAACCCCCATTGAGGTAGGTTGACATTGCCAGCGCGGAGGTAGCAGCCCAGATCCTTGTGCTTCAGACGGAAGGCAGTAGTGAGCGTTCGGAGCTTGGAGTAATCCCTCGAAGCAGCGTCACGAACAACTTCAACAACCCAGTGGTCCTTGGTGTCACCGACGGTTGTGTTGCCGTAGCAGGAAACTTCCCAATCGCTCTTTGTAACGGGGGCGGCGACTTGGTGCGAGTGGAGGTTGCGGCCGGTCTGGGCGTGGATGAGACGGATAACGTCACCGTTTCCAGGGTAGCGGAGCTCCTCATCGGGCTTGTAATCGACTTCGTGGCGGTTGGGGTAGAAGAACCAGTCGTTGTTGGCATCCTTGTGGTGGTAGCAAGTGATCTGTTGCTGTTGGGAGCCTTCAGGGTAGGTCTGTACGTGAGAGTGAAGCAGTCCACCTCCGTATCCCATGTTCTTCAGAGTCGTGCGAGAGCCGTATGCGATCTCAAGAGGGCTGTTCTTGCCGACCTCGGTTCCTCGCAGGTTAGCCTGGAACAGAGAGCTCATTTGTGCGTCGCCGGGACCGCTGTTCTCGAGAATGATGAAGTGGAGGTAGAAGGAGAACATGTAGACGGCGAGGGGAATGAGAATCAGGCCGAAGACTCGGAAAGCGACGTGGGTGACTAGCTCAACCTGTACACATTAGTCTAGTTTGCTGTGACAGTGCATTTCACGTACTTTGGGCATCTTTAGGTCTCCAAACTTGTGCCAAAGGTCCTCAATGGTGTACAATCCGACCAAGGCAGTAACGAAGAATCCAACCCACTTGACACTGCATACGCAACCAATGGAAACTCCAGTGAGCATCAGCCAGAGACCCCACTCAGGAGAGAATGGGTCATGTTGCTGACGGTGGAACTTGGACCAGCAGAAGACGGTGGTGAAGGTGAAGCAGAGGAGCATAGAATCGAGAAGGATGAAACGGCTGATGGTGGTGTACGAGTTCTCACAGAGTACAGCCAGCGTGACGAACCATACAACCGGACGGCGGAAGTTCAGCTCCTTGGCGGTAAAGTATGCCAGCGGAACGCAGACAGCGCCAAAAGCAGAGTTGAAGAGACGCATGAAGGTGTAGTCCAGCTCGGGAGGGTAGGTCTCTCCAGACTTGAATTCAAACGAGCCATTGTATCCAGCGAGGTATCCAGATAGACCAACGAGCATCTTTCCGAGCGGTGGGTGGACATCGAAGTAGAACTCGCGCTTGAGGTAGTGTGAACCGAACTTGCCAAAGCTGCACCGAGTCAGAACTAGCCATGTACGTCTTGGATCCGGTATACTTACTGGGCTTCATCCCAGGTGACGATTGGCGATAGGCCAATCTTGTACATGCGCGTGAAGAAGGCGAAGAAGGTGAAAATCAGAGGGGCCCAAATGAACTCGTATTCGTCGAGGAAGGAGATGATGTTGAAAGGCTGCGGTCTGGTTAGCGAAAGGTCCCTGCAGCCACCAGAATATTGACAGCTCTGATGCCACTTTGCAAGACGGCGTACCTTGTCCTTGGATTTCTCCTTCTCTTGTACTTGTGCAGCGACTGGCGCGGAGGCCTGTGATTGTGCGGCTACATTTCTCCTCCGCAGCTCTTCCGCCTGTGCATCGGCGCCTGTGGTGCGCGCAGTTGATGCCATGGTGATGGAAATCGGCGCTCTGGTCGACCGCAGATGTTGTTTGCCGAGTTGTCCAGAAAGGCGGAAGGGATTCGTGGCTTGAGGCTGGATTTGGTGGTGAACGGGTAGTCGGTACCACGAAGCTTGCGCGACTACGCGGTGCAGCCTGGTCTAAAGCGACTCGAGAGAAAGGCAATCAATTAAAAGTGGCCGTGGGCCGTAGAAGAAAACCTCAAACAAGTGAGAGCATGGGAAGGAAGCTCGCAGGGAAGGAGCAATGCAAGAAAGTCGTGCGCTGCGGGATCGAGGAGGTGGGCTACCTGTTCCCGAATTAGACTTACGAGCAAAGGAAGCTAGAGCCCGGCCGCCGCATCAGGGCACGGAGAAGCGACACCTGTTCACATCTATCACGTGAAACCCACAATTCCATTCACCTGGCCCCAATCGTTCCGTCGCACTGGTAATCCGATGTGCAGCCGGCTAGGACGGGGAGGGGCACTAGGTCGATGCACGTCACCAAAGCTTCACCACGGTAGCTTTCTGCACAAAAGATAGTGGTTCCGTCTCCCTTGGAAGACGTATTTCTCTAGCCTACTCAACACATGTAACAAACGCCTCAAAAAATGCTACGCGCACTCTATCAACCCAAGAACAACGCTCGATAAGCCATTGGCTCGTGAATATTGGAACATGCGCATCGCTTGTCGAGATGGCGCAGATATATGTAGGAAATGCGGAATTGTCGATGTGTACACCGCGTGTACTCTAGTCCTCGTCCTGTCCAACTTGCTTGTACTTTCCGCTCGTACTGTCACCCTCGCCGTTACCCTTTGTCCTCTTAACCATGTTGCTGATCCAGCCACCGATGCCTTCACCGTTCTCGGTGTCCGCCTTGGCCATGTCCTTATTGCCGCTCTCGATGTCAGGAGGGTCGATGTTGAGTCCAGGAATGGCCTCGTCTTGCGCGCGGCGTCCGCGGATGTCGAGCGATGGAACAGGAGAGCCACGGCCTTCTCCGCTGAAAAGTGATTCGGCTTGCGCCAGGGTCTCCGGAGTGGGCATGACCGAGGTAGCGTCTCCGAACAGGGAGTTCATGTCTTCCAGGCGAACGTTGGCAGTTTCTGGGTAGATGAAATATACTGAGTCTTGTTAGTAAATGGCTCAGCCCAAATGTCAGCCAAAACCTACCGATTACGAAACTGGCAGCGCAGAAGAATGCGTGGATGAGGTACAACCGCCACTGGATGTGCTCCTGCAGGATCGGGGTCATCTCACCAACCAGCCAGTTGAAAGCCCAGTTGGTCGCAGTACTCAGACTGGCACCCTTTGCACGAATGCTGAGGGGCAGGATCTCTGGTGGGTACAACCACGGAATAGGACCCCATGAGTATCCAAATGCGGCGTTGTAGATCATGACGAATATGACGACCATGTTGGGTGTCCAAGAAGCTTGCAGGAACTGGAAGTAGGAAATGGCGGAGAGAGAGATCAGCATCATGAGGGCTCCAGAGAGCAGAATCTTCCGACGACCCAGCGAGTCCACAATGTACCATGGTGGAATGGTGGAAAGCAGGTATGTGATGGCGTTGATACCAGTCATGAGAATAGCTTGGCGACCGTACCAGCCAGCCTCTTCGAAGACGAGCGGTGCATAGTACGAGATGACGTTGATGCCGTTGAGTTGCGCGAGGGCTTGGGCGGACATGGCAATGAAGACGCGTTTGGAGTATCGCGTAAACATGTCTTTGTATGATCGTTCACCTTCTTGACGCTGGAGCAGGACGTTCATCTTGATCTCTCGGTATTCATCTCGTGCTTTGGGGTTGTGAATATCGCCCTTTCCGTACAAATTGGCAATAACTACAATACCCTCTTCGTCGTGATCGTTGTCCAAAAGCCATCTGTACGTGTCAGTGAAATGCTTGAATTAGGAGTGTATAGCAAACCTTGGAGATTCGCAGATAAGCAAGCTTCCTGCGGCCAGGAGAAGACCCATGATGCACTGCATGAAGAGCGGAACTCTCCACGACCAGTCGTTCTTGATGTATGTGCAGAAGTAGTCAACCCACACACTGACTGCGTAACCTGTGATGTTGCCAGTGAATTCAATGCAACCCATCTTTCCTCGGTTGTGGGGCGGCGAGATCTCGGACTGGTATACGGGTACGATGGTAGATAGCGATCCGACTCCCAGACCGGCGATGACTCTGCCGAGCAGCATCATGGGGATACCGGTAGCGAAGGTCTGGAGAGCGCCGCCGACGACGAAGATGAGGGAGCCGTACAAGATAGTCTTGCGTCTTCCGATCACATCACCGATACGGCCAACGACCAGCGAGGAGATAAAGGCACCAACTTCCAGGATAGCCACCATCGTACCGAGCTCGGCGGCGGAAGGCTGGTTGAAGTAGTCTTTGAAGTAGATGCCGCTGTGATACTATTAGACATGGCCTAGTACAGAGGGTGCGTAAGGGCGTACGTAATGATACCGGACATGACTCCCTGATCATAACCGAACAGGAACACGCCTAACGAGACGAAGACACTGGTGAAGTAGCTGCTGCTGTTAGCTCTGAGCTTCCTGTTGTGGCATCCGCTCTACCCACATCAGCTTCTTTCCGTGTAACCCGTGGATACGGGAGGGCCCATCGTTGGGTGCCATGATTCTAGCGAGTATCTTCTCAGCCTTTGAGATAGTGCGTGGTCCGGGGTCGGGGATCTCGATGTCTTCGAGTCGGAGTTGGTGGGCGCCCTTTTCGTGGAGGTCCTGAGATGCAAAGCGCGCTCGCTTTTGCTTTTGGCGTGGCCGCGACGGGTTGCCGGCTTCAAGGTTGATGCGGAGGGGGTCTTCTCGGTCGGCTAGCTGGTCGACGAGGTCACCAGTATCGCTCCAGACGGAGAGGTCCGAGTCGGACGATGGGGTGTCGAAGGAGGAGCGCGCGCTGTCCTTATCGTGGTCGTCGAGCAGATAAGCAGAGTCGTGGTCTCGGGGACGGGCCGAGCTCGAGAGGTTGTGGAGGGGGATGTTGGCAGGCCTCCTGGTGCTGTTGGAGTGGGACGGAATGGTGAAGGTCACAGGCTGTTGGGAGACAGCCCTCTTCTCCGAGAGATGGTGGTAGGAAGAACGAACGAGGCCAAAGGCGGCTGCTGGGGCACGTCACAGGGTCAAGCAGCCGAGACGAGGGATCTGGTAAGGCTAGCGCAAAGGCGGTGAGAACTCGGTCGCATTGGGCTACAATGGGGAAAAAGACAGTCACGACGATAGCGCCTGGTTGAGATCAGACGTCCACAGGTGCATGCGAACGTGTGAGCTCCCTTTTCGGGCTGCCTTGCCGTCATTTCTTGGCACCCATGTACACTCCTTCGCTGCTCGGTCCGACCATGTTGCGCATGGAGCCTGCTGGCGAGCGCGGCATCGTCTGCACGATGATGTACGCGCGCAGCAGAGGCTTTGTTTTTATCGCGGCTGTATCGCATCGAGTGACAGCCAGATGTACGGATCGCCATGTTCTCGCTACCACAATCCGATGCCGTTGACCGGAGGCTTGAGACGGAGGCTTGATAGCGGACATTAGATCCCGCGATGCAGCACACGACGTAGCCACGAGCTCTACACTACACCTACACTAGAGGTGCACCACCAGCTTTGCGCCATGTACGGGGCGGTGGAGGCGGGTCCCGAGGTCACGTTGGGGTCGTGGTGTCGACGATTGGAGCCCCGCGTGGAGACTGACTGCAAAGCGGAAAGATAGCCGCGATCAACTTCAGTGTTGCACAACTCATGCGGTGTAGAAAAGAACACCGACTAGTGGTAAAAACTCCATACAGATCACGAGACTCGATGCTATGTAAGGGAAGAAACGCAGGGCCACATGGCAGTCGTCGTGCGGAGAAGCAACATGGGCGGGCTCAGACGCGTTCTGTTCTTGCATCTTTCGCTTCGCACGTGAACGTGACAGCCCCGAAGTCTGCCGTCACTGGACGAGGTGAACACTAAGCAAAGAAACCGACATTGCTTTGCTGGAGACGCGACTTAGCTATACATATGACAGATCTCGACACGCTTTATATACCCAACGCGTTCGAGTGTTTGCAATCTCCCCAAAACGCTGTGGTGAAGCGACTATAATGCTAGCGTTAAACAAACATCAGTCAAATCCATCCTCGTCGATACAGTAGACGCCGGAGACCCTCCTGACGTTTGCAAGCTGGGGCCTCGCTTCCAGTGCGAAACACCTAACTTTTACGGCCCCAGGCACACACCGCTGGTGGGCAGAGGAGGTCTGCAGGTCGATCGTGCTGCTGTAGAGTTGAACAGCTGCAGGAAGGGCCTCGTCGCCAACGTCAAGCCATCAACTCAATTAATGAGCGCCCTTGTACCACCGGTAGAGTTGGGAGTTCTGCGTCATGCTGGTTATGACACGCCCAAGGCCCATGGCTTGCTCTGCCGCCAGATGCTCCGTGATCTGCGGCCCCTCGCTGCAAGGGGAAAGGCGCCGTGGGACTGATTGGCCCAGCAGACCCCAGTTTTGATTACCTGCCCAGATGTTTGTGTGGCAGCGTTCCTGTTTCTTGCTTCTGGCAGAGGCCTAAGAAGGTGTTTAACGCAATTGCCAGGCATCCCTTCACTGTAATCGACGTCGGACAACTCAATTGAAATTCAGCCTGCAGGGGGTTGGTTTAGCGCAGCACGCCCGCCCTGGTAACCAAACATTGAAAGCTCGCGGTCGGACCTGGCTCTCGCTCGGCGCGCCTGATTGGATTTGGCTGAAGACCTGCTTGGCTTCGTGCATTGTTTCGAGGAAGCTTCCCAGCGGCCCCAGCCACAGCGCATCATTACACCTCTCACCACCACGACCACGACTACGACCGCTCCACGATTCGCTTTCACGTCGCTTGCCCATCCGCGCCGACCGCCCTCTCTTATCTGTCGCAGTGCGCACAACCCGATAACGAGCGCTCCACATAAAACCGCAAGGCTGAGGCTCACCTGCAGCTCTTGCTGCCGAAACGAAAAGCATGTCTAGATACGGAAAGGTATGTCGACGACGACTGCACGCTGCGAGAAGAAAACTGACCATCTAGTTTGACGACTTCTGCCGCGACACAGGCTCGAACTGGAGCACATTACCTGTCTGCTATGTACGTTGCGTCCTACCACCCCTTTGCCCGTCCACCGCCCGCGAACGCGCCGCTAACCTCGTGTTTCACAGCTCTTCAACCCAGCTTCGACAAAAGACGATAACGGATGGCAAGATGGCTGCATTCTACAGGGCTTCCCCGTTGGTGGAGGTGAAAGACTGCACAATCTGGGTACGAGGCATATGCGCGCTTCAACGACATTCCGCTTACACACCTAGGCTCCATATTAATCTGCGGCATCGCAATCCTCGCCTCGCTGTTCCTGCTATGGAGATCGCAAAGAAAGAAGGCCGCTGTTGGGCGCAGAGAAATGCAGCTCTTCCTCCTCGGATACATCGTCATCTCCATCTGCGAGATCTTCACCATTGGCGGATTCCCCCTCAATTCCACTGTGCGCATTGTACGTACGCGATTCTACGTATCCACCTGCAGTATCTAATCTTTATACAGGTTTTTGTCGCTATCCACATCGCCGCAATCACCGCTACATCCTGGATCCTCATGCTCAACGGCGCCGTGGGTTACCAACTACTTGACGACGGCACGGCAGTCTCTATCGGTCTGCTCTTGATCTCGTCGATCGTAATCTTTATCGGTACCGGCTACATTGCCCTCGACACTGGACTCAGCTGGACGGGTTACTGGGACGAGACGCGCTTCCTGCCCAACCAGGCCTACGCGCTATACACCCTCTACCAGCTCGTTCCGTTGGTCTTCATCGTCATCTTCTTCCTCCTGGAAGCTTTCCTGGTGCTGCGTGTTCTCGGCGAGCGCAAGCCAATGCGTAAGGAATCGTCAATATTCTATCCAAAACATCACTAACTCCCTCCCAGTCTATCTCCTCGCAGCAGGCCTTCTATTCGCCATCGGTCAAATCTTCCAATATGTCATCAGCGTTCACATCTGCAACGGCACCGACGGAAAGATCAACGGAGGTCTATTCTCGACCCTCTTCACCCTCCTATCGGTAGTAATGATTTGGGTGTTCTGGTCGAGCATCACCGAAGACGACTGGCCCATGCCAACTGTCGCTGGCTCAGGCGCATATAATTAGGAACGAAGTGGTAATCTCGGGGGTGTACAGGCAACGGCGTAATGTTCTTATGATGGCTTTTGCCCGGCATAGCGTATACCATTTTGGGGCTCTTTGGACGCATTTGATGCGTCATGCTGAACTTGTGCTACGATATACATAATGTTTGCTGAATGGAATTACTTGATGTTCAGAAATTGTCTGCAAATGCGAAAACGTGAGGGCTGAGGCACGACTGACTGGGTATATTGATAATCTATCGCTCGTCGCAAGATATATACAAGTCTAAGCCTCTACCAAGACTACTTCATCCAGTCATCTCAGTATCCCCATTGCTCGCTTCGGCCGCCACAGCCCCAGGATCCAGTCGTCCCAAGCACCCCGGACAATTGTGCAGCACCATGTGCGCAAAAACATCGCAATCGATGCAAAAGTGACTTTCACAAGTCCGACATTCATACCTCCCACTCTCACTAGCCTTTTGCGCCTCACTATCTTCCTCATCTCTCTTCGTGCCATTGACCTCACCGTTTTGTTCGGCCTCAGTCCTCTGTCTATTGCTACTCGGTGGATTGCTGAAAGAAACCAGACAGCCCACACATTGCGTGCTACCCTTCTCACGGGCGCGCGACCAAGACACTGTGGACCAGTTGCGGAGAGGAAAGAGGTGGTGGTAAGATCGTGCGAGATGGGTGGAGAGGAGGAGAGTGAGCTGGCATGACGGACATGTGATAGGTAAGGAGCAAACTTTTGCGCTACAGCGAGAACATGTGTAACCGCCCATGGTGAGATTGCCGTGACATGCGCACATTGTTAGCTCGTCTTCTATGACTCGCGAAGGGAAGCCCATCATCATCAGCGCTGCTGCGGACTCTGGGGCTTGTGGTGCTGCTGCTTCGACGGCGGGTGCCGACGTACGGATTACGGGTGGTGTTGTGGTGGCAAGGAGGAGCTCCTTGAGCATTTCCTGGTCGGTTGCGATGGTGTATTCTGAGTCGTCGCCGGCGTTTGTCCGCGTTACGATTTCTGTGCAGATTTTGAGGCGTGCGCCCATGCCGATGACGCTGACGCGAATTTTGTCTCGTACGCAGGCCTTGACCGTCTGGTGTATGTCCCCAGGGTCTAAACTCAACAAGCTGCCAAAGACGACGATGACCTCTCGTGTACCATGACTCGGTGTGTGGTATAGCGTCGCTCTTGCCAGCTCCAGCGCGTTCTGCAAACTGGGTGCGCCCTTGGGCTCTTTGCCATCGTCTTTACTCCTCAAGCCTTGTATCGCTGCGACGTGTTCTGCCGGGTTCCCTGAGAGCTCCGAGACTCGTATGCAGACGCCGTCGTGCATGCCAAGGACGCTCATCTGCGATATGGGGTTTTGCTCGAAGAATTCGCGGATGTAGTCTTGCGTGTAGTTGATCATCGTGATGAAGCGGTTCGGTCGCATGTCCTTCTCCATCATTGCCTCCGAGAGGTCAAGCACCAAGACGACATGGCGGATGATGCCTCGCTGGAAGGGCTTTGTATCTTTCCGCAGTCGCTTTCGTTTCCTCTCTTCTTCCCGTTCTTGCACGCTTAGTCCCATTGTATCGTCCTCTGCCAGTTGTGTCGTTTTTGCGACCGTCCGCGAGTCCTCTGTCTCCCATGCTTGTCGCTTCGGTGGTTCTTTTGCAGGTATCTCCGCTTTCCGCCTCTTGCCAGGTGCTGTGGATTGCGCGCGTGTGGTGGAGGGACCGCTCCTTGTGCCAATGTACTCGTCATCAGATCCCTCCCCCTCAAAATCGTAATCCGAATCGGCCATCGTATACGCGCAAACTTGGAGTAGGTCGAGGAGCTGTGGTAGGCGATATGCGTGTGTGGCCGTATGGATGTGTGGAGTTCAGGTGGATGATGCGCGTGCATAGGCGGAAGCGTGTCTCACCCGTGATAGGCTAAACGCGCTCTCACGTTTTCTTCGCAAGGAAGCCGCGTATGATTAACCCGTATCATCTTGCCTTCTGTGTTGCAATCCTGAAATTTGGAACATATGTTCAGTTCCGTAACAAATCACGACCAAGCAGAGTGGCATTGGTTCCGTCGTTAGAGTCCTAACATGAGATTTCAAGATCGCACTTCTGGCAACGGAGATCTCCACATGGAAATGCCGAAGACGACCCCGCGACCGACGCGAACGTGGGGCAAAGTCCCGAACTCCACAACGGGCCATCTTGCATCAACACGCGCTGACTGCTTTATAAGCCTTTCCAGATCCCTGACTCCATGTTGGCACGTTCCTTCATACGCTGCACACGCACCGTTACTACTACCTCCAGACCGGTCTTTGCCTCTAGATCACAGTTACTGTTGCCTCGACTTCCACAAGTAAAGTACTTCAGCACAACAGTAAGAGCAATGTCGGCATTTGAGCGACTGATTCGGTTTGAGGACAAGGAGGGAAAGACGGTGTATGGGAATTTAGAGAAGGAGGTGCCCACCAGAGAGATTGAAGGAAGCAGCGTAGAAGTGTTGTCTGGGGACATCGAGAGTGGGTTCAAGAAGACGGGGGAGAAAGCTACTGTGGGAAAGGTATGCAATCAATATACAGAAGATATTGAAGCACTAGGGGGGGGAACTAACATCTAATAGCTCCTCAGCCCCGTCCCGACAACAAACATAATCCTCTGCGTGGGCCTCAACTACCGGCGCCATGCCGAAGAGTGCAACCTCGCTATCCCCTCCAACCCAGCCATCTTCACCAAGCCCAGCGATGCCCTCGCGGGGCCCTTAGAAACCATTCCCATTCATCCGGACTGTCAATCGCAACTCGACTATGAAGGCGAACTCACCCTAGTCATCTCGAAAGATTGCAAGAACATCGCCGCAAAAGACTATGCTGACTACCTCCTCGGCTACACAATCTCCAACGACGTCTCCGCCCGAAACTACCAACTCCCTGCGTCTGTATCGGGCGGCCAATTCGGCTACGCAAAGTCGTTTGACAAGTTCGCTCCCGTGGGCCCGTGTATCGTGTCACCTAGCTTGATCCCTGATCCTCACAAGCTAAGGTACTGGACAAAAGTCAATGGCGAGAAGAGGCAGGAAACCGGGACGGATGATATGATTTTCAGTGTAGGCCAGATTCTGGAGCATCTGAGTCGCGGGACTACGCTAAGAGCTGGTACGGTTATTCTAACAGGTACACCGAGTGGTGTTGGTCTGTTCATGGACCCGAAGGGTTTCTTGAAAGACGGTGATGAGGTTGAGGTGTATGTGGAGGGAATTGGAAGTATCGTCAATAAGATGAAGTTTGAGTAAGTAGAGAGAATGGAGTGAACTGTTCTCTTTTGGAGGAACATAGCCATGAATCTAAAGAAATACCACGGCCTTATTCCAGTGAGGGAGTGTGTATTCATGGGTCAGTATTGGGTTGTCCAAGTTGCCAAAATTGCAAAGCATGAATTTGTGGAAGTAAAGAGCCATTCAAACAGGAAAATACTCTCAATACAGTGTCAGTCCCTGTAGACATCTTCTTCTATAGGCCAGACATGTTGGGTAAGAATTAGAAAAGTGTTGATTGTCTATTCATGGTTCAGGGTGATGTTGGACTGATTTTTGAGGTCAAAGGAGAGCTTTAAACGAGTAAGGTATTGCCCACTCCAACATGTATTTTAGATATACTGAGCTAAGGTCTGCGATTTTACGGAAGATTCTTTACTATAGTGTACAGAAAAAGCTCCATATTGCCTAGAGATGTTAAAAGCGAGTGAATTGTTTGATGGTAAGATTCCAGGATTTAAGGACCCGTGGATGATATCAGCCACCTAAACTCTGTTCGTACGAAGTTGCGATGTCGGCTTGGCTATAGCAGTAGCATCCATAATGTGTCCATGGAAGTTACGACGAAGAGAGATGACAATGATGTAGCTTGCAGACTGCAAGTAGCGGCACCCAAGCTCGGCGCTGTCAACTTCACCTAGATGATAGTTGCGTGGTACTGACAGGTGAGGGGTGCGTCATGGCCACGAGACGCTAGTGCCCACGCTAATTTCGAAGTTACGTTGAGGGCAGGCGACCATGTACCCGAACCATCAACTTTGAAACAGCACAACAAAAGAACGCAGATTCATCTCCCATTTCAGAGACGCGACTTACGTGTAGAATTCATCTGAATCATCAACGCGACCAAAACAAATCACAACAATGGCCTCGGAAGTAGTCAACAAGCTGCAGAACCTGGTTACGGGAGAGTCGAAGAGCGCCCGCAAGAAGAAGGGCAAGCAAGAGGGAGCTACCGCAGTACCCGCTGCGCCTGAGAAGACGTCGTCCGAGGCTGGCGCAGGTGGCTCCAACCCCGCCGGAAAGGCCAATGGAACCGACAGCGACAACTCGTACCTCCGCGAGGTTCAGAAGTAAGTCGCAACCGCATTGTGGATCAGGGACCGCATGCACAATTAACAGGACTCACTTACTAAGACGCGTCTGTGCAGGAACATCCGCAACATCAACAAGAAACTGGTAAGCTAACAGTGTCCCTCACCCCTCGAGCCCTTGCTTACATGGCATTTCCAGAGCGCAACCCAAAAGGTCGACTCCATAATCGCAGCGAATCCCGGCGTTTCTCTCGACGACCTCCTCGCTTCCAAGAAGATCAATGCCGACCAGAAAGCTCAAGCCGAGAGGAAACCCGGTCTTCAGACTCAGCTTGCGCAGTACGAGGAACAATACACCAACTACAAGAAGTATGGCGATGAGCTCGAGGCTAAGTTCGCAAAGGAGAAGGAGGTTCTGTCCAAGTCACACTCGTCGGAGCTGGAGACACTGAGGGGAACGATCAAGGCCGAGGCAGCGCTGGAGCAGCAGAAGATCGTCAAGGAGAAGTTGCTGACACTGTCTCGTTTCTTGAGGGCCGCGGCTGCTCGTCGTCAACTTGAGGATGACGACTCTGACCTGACCAAGGCTTTCGAGGGCGCTCTGCTTCAGGTCTATGGAGGAGACGCCGGCGCTGTCATGGCTGCAGAGAAGCTGATCGAGGGTGCAGAAGAGGGAGT